AATAAAATGAAATTATTCTGAGCAGTGAAAGCCAACATTGCTGAAGAGACAAAGACAAGAGCACCACATAAAGGACCTCATCAATAAAAAGACATCACAGCCCGGCCCACAATGATTGATTGACAGGTGATTTCTGGGAAGCGCACTGCAGATACAGCAGAGCTGAGATGGAAAAATAAACAAAGTAAGAATGCTACCTGAAGGGAAACAAACTGACAAGTGTTCTCACCTCTTTGACGTTCTGGTAGTTCTCGTTGCCCTTCTCCAGTTTCTCCTTCTTGGGTGTCACGTCCTCTGATGCCCCCTGCAGGATGCAGAGGGTAAGACAACATATGCAGTTCTCTCTGGGTATGGTACTACATTATACACACTTCAATCAAACTAATTAATAAAGTAAAAGTAAGTAGCGCGTTACAATAAATAAATGAACGTAATCGCCAATTTTGCACATTGATTTCAGCAGAGCGTCGCAGACATGGACAAATGAAGTAATGTATGTCATGTGGACCCTGGTAGCTACACAGAAAGTTATTTGACTTAATTTTAACTAAACACATTTGAGGTTACTTAAAAAACTACACAGTTTGGGAAGTCATCTTCATTTAAAATAGCTTACTTTCCTCCTTTCTAATGTTTGTGGAAATCATTAAGTCAGCTGTTCTTAGCAACCGCTACGTCAACGGACACGCCACTGAACACAATCCTAGACTGAATCATATAGTCAAATAAAATGGCAGTTCAGTCTGATTATCAGGTTAGCGTTTGCCAGAACCCAACTGTTTGTTTTTTGTTTTAATTGTTTTATATGCAGTATAAGTGTGTATAACATGTATGACAATGATAAAATTGTGTTATAAAGAGAGCTTTATTTCACATGGGAAAGAAACAATAAACAGAGAGAGAGAGAGAGCCGTGACATGCAACAAAAGTTCCAAGCCAAATCTGAACCAAGACAATGTAGTTGCACCTGAGACACCAGCAAGCCCCACACCAGCATTTCAACAGTACAAACAAGTACAAAAAGTTAGTTTTAGTCGTCATTTAGTAGTTTAGTTTCATGAGTAATATTCTGATTATTAATAATTGTTAATCTTTTACCAAGACAGTGGTTCTTGTCCTGGTGTAGAAGTGACTTTAGTTTGTTTGTTAGATATTATAAACAGTTCTCATATTGTTATTTAAACATGCTTGAAATGTCACTCAGCCATCTACACTAGAAATTCACACCTAGTTCTGGAAAAGAATGGAAGTCTTTGGGAGTTAGACAATAATCATTGACCTCATCACCCCATATGAACTCACTCACTCTAAAGCTGTATGCTGACGATTCTGCTCTATTCACCACCTTCTCATCTTCTTTTTCCTTGAACTAATGTGTACTTCTTCAAAAACTTTTTATTATGTGTCCAATTTTAAGAATCTTGATATGACCAAGTAATGTTAATGGCAGGAACAGAAACGTTTTCATGTTCGGGTGAATATAAATGTGTTAATTAGATGACTAAGTCATCCGAGAAAACCAGCTTTTTTTAGCCTACACAAGCCTTCATCAGGGTGTGGAAACAAAAGAAGGTGGCTATAAGAAAGGGAATAAATTCTTAAATGTCAACTCTGTTTGACTCATTAATTAGGCTTGTAAAGCTTCATTTTCATTGGCTTAAAATTGTTTTGCTGCCTAAATACAGGATGTTTTGACTTCTGAACTTACTTTCTAACCACATCTTGGGAATCTCCACATGTGCTCCTCAAACTCCACGTACATTAAACAGTTATTTTACCTTTTCAATATTAAGGCTTAATGCGAAAATAATCAAATTTTGGCTCCTCACCTCTCCTTTTTCCTTCTTGTCTTTCTTGTCTTTCTTCCCGTCCCCTCCACCCGAGCTCTTCTTCTCCACCCACAGTTCAGATTTCTCCACCAATGTTCGGAGGCGATCCAGATCTGCCTTGATCAGCTTGTAGTTCTCCACGTCCTGAGCTGAGATCAGCAACTGGACCTGCAGACACACAGCGAAACATTTGGAGGATTAACCTGAGTGAACCATGAGTGTCCTGCTAACAGTGGGTTGGTGAGTCTTCATTCAAAATTATTCAAATTTTGATGAGCAGATTCAATCAAATGTTATCAAACCCCAAACCTACAGCAGTTGAAATCAAAACGCTCCAAAATTAGCTGGCACTAGGGTGTCCAACACCAAATACCTTGTTTTTCTGAAATAACTATTTATGGCAGCCTTAATCTATTTAGCTCAATTTCTCATTCAAATAATATGACAGAATCATAATCAGATTGAATAAAACCTAAATAAACAACAAACTTTACATAAACTGGATATAGGCTTCACAAGAGAAGTGTTCCTGATATGCAGGAATGAGTCCTAAAACCAGAAAGTTTGCATTTTAGCACCACTGTTTTGTTAATGGGTTTTTGGTTAGATGTCTGAAATAAGGTCTGTTATCGGTTAACACACACTTAAGCTCTTTTACCTTTTATTTACTGACATAAAATACATCAATGTTAAAGCTTTTACGTTATTTCTTTAAAAAAGGCGATTGCTAACAAGTGGCTAAATGAGACTACAGAGGTTTTCGGTAGACTTATCTACTCACTTGTCCGCCTTCTTTACGTCCTTGTTGTGTTAATATTGCGCTTTTTCAAACTATTCTAAATCATACTTTACAACTTGTAGATTTTAAGTAAAGTTAAGTTTAATGATGGCGAAGCTTAAGTCAATGCACCCTTGGTGTGGTTCGTTTATAACCTAATGTAAGGGCTTTACCACTGGAGATCTGCTTAAAAAAATCATAAAAGTCTGTTCATTTGTGAAAATTATCTTTCTAAATTGTTGTTCACCATGGAGCTTAGTTTCTGCAACAATCCAAAATCTCATTGGCTTTTTATTGAAGGAACCAGGGCGATGCAATATGAACACCTAAACAGGAGTGACAGATGGAGAACAGAGCCTTGAACCATGGTCCCTCATATTAAAAGTCAGATATCCTACCAACTGAGCTACCCAGACTCCCTAATGCAAGAGCCCTGGAGAAAAGACCTGGGGTCTCATTTATAACCGTTGCGTACGCACAAAACGGGGCTGAAAGTGGCGTACGT